CAGCTCTGCGTGGTAGCGGGCCGGCTGTGTAGGTGGATGATTCACCGGCAAAACCAGGTGTTTTATTTGGGGTTGCTTGTAAGCGTACCTCGTGTAAGTAGCTTAGAGAAAGGAGACGTTGTGAATGGGAGGTAATTACTTGCTTTACTTTGTTTCTGAAGAGTAGTGACAGCTCTAAATTCTGTTGTTGCCATTTTTCTTCTTCTACTTCTTCTTCTTCTTCTTCCTCCTGTTTACGATATGTCGGGATGGTACTAATACAAGCGAGCTATGTAGGCTGTTGCAACGTAGGGACAACTGACATCGAGAAGCAGGGTTTCCTTTCAGAAGCTAATAGTTACTTAACTATCCAAGGATGTTATCCTCACCCAGAAAATACAATTAGTATGCTGGAACTCCATGGCCTGTAGTCCGTAAGTGAGCTATACCGACCGAGCGACAGCCATTTGTCGGCGAAGTTAGTGCCAAATTTTGCAGATAGAGGGTGTCACGTGGTCAGCGCAACGAATCCCCATGGCCGTTAATTTTGGTTTTCTAGATCGGAGCCGCTATTTCCTTGAAAGAGCTACTCAATTACCCTCACGAGGCTGAGTGGACCCCCTTCCAGACCCACTACTTATCAGAAAATCTGGTAGCTCCGGAAATCGAAGCCGGTACCTCTGGATCTGTAGCCAGGAACTCTGACCACTAGACCATAGAGGCGGTCATTAATAATGCTGAATTTCATTACAAACTGATTTATCAGAACCTTCTCTAGATGGATTCTACTCTAGAGGAGTTAGTTACGTTTGAGTTAGATACTTTAATCTTCGGGGGCACACGGTAACGTGTTGAGACACTATGCTACAAGCCGGAAGGTCGAGTGTTCGAGTCACGATGAGGTTGATTTTTTTTCAATTTACCTATTCTTCCCAGCCGCATTATGGCCCTGGGTTTCACTCAGCCTCTAATAGAAATGAGTACCAGGAATATTCCTGGGGGGTAAATGAAGGCTGACAACCTTATCGCCATCTGTAAGCCGACTGGCTATATAGAGAAAATGTGGAAGCATCGACGTCTCACAAACCTGCGAGCCTCCGCTGCCTGTTACAGGGATAGCTTTACTTTTTAACCATTTACTTTTGCTGTTCAACACGGTCCAACTCAGACTAGGAAAAGCCTTCATATAATAATTTAGAGCAACCCACTCTATGGTTCTGAGAAAATTTTGACCGATTATGTTAGATTGGACTTCCTCATTCATAATTTTCTTCATATACATCACAAAAATCCGCAATTCTTTTGTTATAATTAAACATTAACTTCTTCACAGCAGATGCTTCTGTGATTATGAAAGTTAACTAAAAATTACAGAAATATAACGACCAATCAACAGAGGAGAGTTTCGCTTATATTATGACGCAATGTATACATTCAATAAAGTAAGTAAATTTATCCTTGTAACAGACCGTGAAGGTCCATAGGGTTGTGAGGTGTTGAGGGTCCCACATTATCTAGACAATCGGCTCAAAGATGGCGGTAAGGTTGTCAGCCTTACGCGCCGACCGCGCTTTACTCCCCAGGAAAATTATTTAAATAATTCCTGGTACCCATTTCTGTTAGAGGCTGAGTGAACCACAGGGCCTAGCGCGGCTGAAAGGATTAGGTCAACTGAAAGAAATCCAATGACTTCATCGGGACTTGAACCCTCGACCTTCCGGCTTGTAGCATAACCCCTCAATCAACTACGCTACCCCTGTATACATTCAATACGATTCATAAACTTTAAATTTTGAAGGAAAGTAATTCTGTTTTTGAATGATATTCAATAACTTACCTATTCAGAAATGAAAAATAATTACACATTCTTTATTTACAAAACTAGAGGTGGATTTACACTGAAGTTAATAATGAATATTGCCGTTACTGTATGAAACAAGTATGTGGAGACACGACAGTAGGTCACAACATTACCAGTTCTTTTCTCGGCGTCTTTGAGCGCGATGTCTTCCAGCATTGCGACCTCGCTACGCCCCTTGGGGTTCGAGGCGTACAGAACGATGTGCAGGGTGGGGGTGTGTGCTGGCAGCAGATCGTTGAGGTCAAGTCGGAAGAGAGGCGAGTCGGAACTCACGTTGAGGCGTAACCGCATTGTGCGAGATTCGTATGCTTCTAGCACGAAGCGCTGCGGCAAACCGCCGTCGTACCCGGCAACGCACTCCACCTCCAGGGCGTCGCTACTCTGGTTCGTCGCTGCCCGCAACGTACAATTCCGCAATGGGCCTGGTTTAGCTGCAGGAAGAAAAATGTCCGCTACACCACCTCTTTAACACATGTAATAGGACATTAATGGGACTACTACGTGACAGGGTCGATGATTCTCCAACAGAATTCACTTTCACTGATAGGGATTGCTTTTTTGTCCATATTTTGAGCTCAGGTGGTAATGATATGACTTTTATTCGGGAAGTGCCAGGTTCGAATATCATTAATTAGCATTTCATAAGTTTTTTCTAATTCATTGTAGGAGAGTACTGGCACAGCACGTCGTTTCGTGCATAATCAACTTCTCATTCAATTGTTACGATTAAACTCAGAAGTTAATACAGCTCTGTTAAACAATTCACGAAACAAGATAATTCTACAAAGACTGAGGAATTCAGAAGCATTCTGTGATTCGCTTTTCTCCCTGTTTGTAAACAGTGGGACAGTAACTTAAGCAGGTTACTTCCCTTGCACCTTCCTTAATTATGTCATGCTTCAATGACTATACGAATTAACATATAAGCAAATTCCCCGAAGCAGGAATATGGTTGAAAAATAAACTAAAGGGAAGACTGCTACATTCTCTTCCAATTTTTAGCACCATTTTAAGTGTTTTATTTGTAGCAACACGAAGTTCTTTTCAGATTAGAAATGGAAAACAGATATTTGTAAATTTGTGAGTCAGGTGAGTACCGAACAGCGTGAGACCTGATTCCGGCCTTGAGATCAGTTTACGTAATTCGTGTCAAGATGAAAGTGTAACATTATGCGCGCGCGCACACACATGAACGTATGCATACGCACGTACAACAACGCATAGTAGAAATTATGGGATTTGTGGTGGACAAAGTGGCGCTGGGGCAGGTTTTCTCCGAGTACTTCGGTTTCCCCTGCCAATCTTCATTCCACCAATTGCTCCACAATAACCCTCACCTATCATCTGGGGCTGGTACAATAGGCCAGAAGTGGCCGCAGTACAAGGGACTTAGTCCCACCCCAACAGCAATAAAAAATATTCCACGAAGAAATATATGAGTCGAACATCTTACTGAATTGCATGCAATGCTTTCATTAATCATACTCAAACAAGAAGAAATGGATACTCAAAAGCAAGGGCTACGGACCTGCAACAGAAATTTCCGTAATAGGATGTACAAAGGCTTCTTCAGGCCTCTTAATAGACCAGTAATTAAATGAGGATTACAAAGAACTTCCACATAATGCCTAGCATGCGGAAAACATGTGCTTTTATATAATTAAACTATATAGACTATTTTTAATGATAAAGAAATAATATTTTATGAAGAAGAATGAGTATGAATTTATCTTCTTAAATCTTTAGAGATGGTTACCCTCTAATCTTTTAAATTCTTGGTTTAAGAGACGATTTTTAAGAATATATGTTTGGTATCTGACATTCATTGTTACGAAAAATATTATTTTAACTAACTAACCAGTTAAGAAAGTAACTAATAAAGTAATAAACTCTGATATTAAAACCATAATTTAACATGGGTGAGCCAAAAGCCCTCTATGGTGCGAGATTTAGAGCAAGCTCAATCCAATTGTCGAAAAGTCTATTTAACATACTGTGACATGTTTCGCAAGGGAGGAAACCCCCCCCCCAATTCCAGTGTACATTTTGATTTTTCAATAAGTCGCTATTTAGCAACATTCCTCATAAAACTGCATACGCACTTCTTCCTCACATCCTGCTACATGGCCTATCCTCACAATGCTGTAATATAATTTCTTTAATTCCGCCAGTATGTAACATGTTTCATAGGCTTTAATGTTTACTTGTCTCCTTTGATTTTAAATGTATTCAATTTGTGATCTTCTCTTAGGGTATCAAGACGCGTCTCACAGTCATATGAAAAGGGCAAATCAAGTGGAGCGGGGGTGTTACTTCCACGTGATGCATGCTAGTTACCTGCGGGGACTATCTGAAAAATACAAGGCTCCGCCTGTCGACCAATGGCGTTGCGACCCCAGCATGCTAGTGTCCCATAATCCCTTTCTGACTTGGGAGTATAGGATAGATCGCTGGTGCTCCCATTTCCCGTACCGATGCGGGTCTGCTCTACTTCAAAACTCTCTCCACTGTTGTTGAATTGCCACACGAAAGTGACGTCACCAGGATCAGCTGTCACGTGACATCGGACCCTCAGAGCTTCGTCCAGCGAAGCTCCTACTACGGTAACATCGTCACTCTTGCAAACTGGAGCAACTGGAAAGAAGCATAACAGACCTCTATTATAACCGATGTAAAAGGAATTCCCAATTGTGAGGAGGGACATGTCACATTTTGAATTCCTGTTTGAGCCACAGTAAGTAGAAGTGCGATAGAACAGTTACCTTGAGCGTTATGCGGGCCAGGCTTCAATTTGAACGTCCTGAGTTCGATATTTTCTTGATTCACCTTAGGTCGCATCTGCTTCCGTAATATTGTTTCAATTAAATTCTACATTACCAGGGAATTTCGTCGTACGCAACAACAATTCACTTCTGAATTTGGTAATTTACAGTATCCTTATCAACGAGCCAACTGATTCTGTGTGTTAGATTCCCTCATTTCGTTCATGGTTTATTCTAACGCGGCTGTCAAATGCACAAAAAATACTTAATAGTGAATGAGGTATGAGTATAGTAGAACAGATTATGAAGGAACAGGTATCATATGTTACAAGGTGCTGTCCAGGAGTTTATTTGTAGGAATAACACAAAACAACTGAATCATGACACGGACTCGAACACAGCACTTCATTCATACCAGTCAGTTATTTCTTGAATTAATCTATCCATTCCTATATCTTTGTGAGCCAGGTTAGCGCATTCGCTCTAGCGACTGCCTACGGGCTGGACGACCGAGGGGTCGGAGTTCGAGTATCGGTAGGGTCAAACATTTTCTCTTCTCCACGTCGTCCAGACCGACTCTGGGGTCTACCCAACCTCCTATCCGATGGGTACCGGGGCCTCTTTCGCCAGGGTAAAGCGGCAGGAGCGTGAATCTGACCACTCACCCCCAGTTAGTGCCGAGGTGAAGAAAATGTGGATGTACGATGTATACATCCACTCCCCCATACGCCTTCATGGTGTAGTGCTTAATTAATTAAGCACAGGGACAACTTTACCTTTTATTCCTATATATTACCCTCACATTATCCAAATAATTAACCAATATATTCAATAAATACAACTCATTGATCTTTGTTACACACGTAGCCTGCCTGATAAGTTGTTCTTATGCAGACTTTGAAAATTGATAAGAGAGATAACGGATCTACTTCAAGTAGTCAACAGACATGCCACTCCAGATTGTCAGGTTTATTACATGAGCACATGGAATGTATTACAGGTATGTAAGTACTGACAGTAAGGAGACCTCTGGCTTTTATATTCGTTATAACGCTCGGAGAGTCGTTGCTGAAGTCTGGTCTGGAAATAACAAATGCAGAAAACTCAGTGTAGTTCATGGTCATCACAACACAGGCAGAAGTAATGAATCCTCTGGCAAGTTAAGTGTGTGGTAACTGCAACAGTAAATCTAAATTATATCGCACAATTCTCAAAACGTCATATTTAAAATACATTATATCCATTGTTTTATTTCGGTAAGAAATTTAGTCGCTCACTCTTAAGGGGTATAAGACGTGATAGGGCAGTCGGTATAGCTGACGACAGCTGGACGACGAGGGGTCGGAGTTCGAGTCCCCGTAGGGTGAAGATTATTCTCTTCTCCACGTCGTCTAGACAGGCGCTGGAGCCCACCCTGCCTCCTATTCAATAGGTGCCGGGGGCTCTTTCCCCGCAGGTAAAGCGGCCGGGTCGTGAAGCTGACCATTCACCTCCAGCTAGTGTCGAGATCAAGCAAATGTGGCTCTAAACATTCACCCTCCATACGCCTTCATGAAGTATTGCTTAATTAGTTAAGCGCAGGAACAACTTAACTCTTGAGGGGAGAGTGTATATTATAATTGAGGAAGATATACGGAAATACTTGTCAGTAGAATCTCTAGTGGATTTTAATTTCACTAGATCTCTCAGAGTACACAACAGCGGACAAATTAATTCACATTGGCCAGATTTAGTATCATTTATGTGTACTTTCCGTGCCGATCGCAGTGGCCGCACCGTCTAAGGCATGAACTGTCTTCGCTCGCTCGAACGCTGGGATCGTCGATTCGAGTCCCACTCAAGGAATGGATGTGTCTATAGTGTGTGCGTTTATTCTGTTTGTAGGTAGAGGCCTTGTGACGGGCTGATCCCCCATCTAAGGAGTCCTACCGGCTGTGTATAGGATCAAGAAACGGTAAACGACCAAGGCGCAACAAAGGGCTCATAATAATAATAATAATAATGTGTAATTCCTTTACATCGATACGTAGGTAAAATAATGTTACATGACGCTGAAGATCACAGGAAGACAGAAAACCAATGGAGTATTTAACGATAATATGTATATTTAAATTTGTGTTTCGACATTTCATTTCCACATGTCACCTGGACTGTCAAATTGATTACTTCTTCCAAGTAACTGTAATTTTCCCCAGGTTATTATCAAAAATAGGGGACGAAAGCATTTGTTTTATTAACTGTCAATATTTTAGAATCACAGATAACATCACTGCTGCCAAAAACAGAATATTGTTTTTACCACAATGTCAATATCGTGGAACACGAAGCGAGACCGGAAATTAATCTGTATGAAACTATGGAACTATGGGACGAAACAGGGGTGAAGTCTGATATACTGCAAAGTTTCATTTCTTTTCGGGAATTTGTTTAGTTCGCTGATGTGTGCTTGGAAATTTCGAGATCAATTGGTTTTACAAATTAAGACATTTTTTTACTCCTCATAATCTGAGTAAATGGATCATAACCTCCCAAGTCATGCACACGCATACTTTATGACTGTGCTTACGCGAACTGTTGCAAGAAAAAGAATAGAAGTCATGTGATTACTGGGTGGGACCAGCACAGTCAAGTAGAGTTCGCGATCAATTATTCTTAATATGCCCAGTACAAGGGACATTCTGAGATTTCAAGTCCGCATGGCGTAGGATCCGGGATTTGATGCCGTGTAATATGATAGATAGGTACTTATCTACCTAACCACGTGGCGTCACAACCCAGAACTTCATGTGATGCCGTGTAATATGATAGATAGGTACTTATCTACCTAACCACGTGGCGTCACAACCCAGAACTTCATGTGATGCCGTGTAATATGATAGATAGGTACTTATCTACCTAACCACGTGGCGTCACAACCCAGAACTTCATGTGATGCCGTGTAATATGATAGATAGGTACTTATCTACCTAACCACGTGGCGCCACAACCCAGAACTTCATGTTCTTAAGAGAACATAAACTGGCGACCTGAATGTATATACATCATTGTGAAGTTTTAAGACGATAACTCTACTTACTAAGAATGTCATGGCTGGTTGTTCATTGTTTTCAGTTTCTGGTGTTTATACATTATTTTGCGTTGTCTGGTTCGGAACATTACATAGGGTCGTGCGGTGTATTTCCTGCACGTAATAAACTTCTGAAATTTATATTCCTTTTATTCCAGCAATAGAAATAATTCAAATACATATAAATTTTCGTCACGTATCTACAAAGTCGATGTATTACTAGGTACGTATTTTGTACAGGTAAAGGTAAAGTTGGCCGATCACGGTAGCCGAGAGGTCTAAGGCATGTACTGTCTTCACTCGCTTGGAAACCGGGATCGTGGGTTCGAATCCCACTCAGGGCATGGATGTTTGTGTGCGTTTTTCTGTGTTTGTGTACAGGTGGAGGCCTTGCGACGAGCTGATCACGCGCCCAAGGAGTCCTACCGAATGTGTAAGATCTAGAAAAACCGAAGTGAACGGAGAAGTTCACGGAGGTAGGCCTAGGCCCACTGGGGCTTTATTGCCATGGAAAAAAAGTATAGTTATCCACGTGCTTAACTAATTACACACTACGCCATGAAGAAGTGTGTAGGAGTGGATGTATGGATCCACGTTTTCTTGACCTCAGCACTAGCTGGAGGTGAGTGGTCAGCTTCACGTCCTTGCCGCTTTACCTTCGGGGAAAAGCCTCTAGTAATCATTAAATAAGAGGTCGGGTAGACCACAAAGCCGGTCCGGACGATGTGGAGAAGAGAAAATGTTTGACTCTACAGGGACTCGAACTCCGACCCCTCGGTCGTCCAGCCTGTAGCTGGTCGCTATACCGACTGCGCCATCACGGCTCCCTCGTACTTTGTACATAACTTATTTTATTCTTAAAATAACAAAAAAAAATTATCGTCAACGGTTAAACAAAATGGCTGGTCAGATTTTGGCAGGGCATTGTGACACGTAGGAAGTGTCAGTATGCTGCAACCGTCTACAAGCATGACTTGCTCATACGTATGAAAGGAATTATGCTCTGCGGAAAACTGTTTACTGGTGTACGAGCAATCTAAATTATTTTTCTCAAGTTCACCCACCTAACAGAAATATATTTAAAATAATCACGATTTTTAGAAACAAGGAATTAGTTGAAATTTTTTCCTTTTGATACCCATCACATACATGCATAAGTTCTGTCCACAACAGTCTGCTTCGGTGTATATTTTCAGTACTCTGCAACATGACCTAAAGCAGATGGAAATATTCAAACCATGTTGGATTAAAAAACTGATACTCGTCCGTTGATCATTGTCTCTCCAATGAGAGTAGAAGGGATGAAGCAAGAGGAAGAAGAGAGGAAGATGAAAATTGGAAAAGAGAAATCAATTTGTTTTGAGGACAAGGAAGAAGAGAAGTAGAAGACAGAGTTGGAGGTCTTTGTGCTGGAGTAAAAGGCCGCCTGAGGTTGACGTGTTGATGACAAATGCGAAACGACGGGAGGTTACAGCCCGCCCTCCTCTGTTCTTTCTTCCTGCCTGTCTTCCTTCCTCCTGTATGTTGCTAGTGACTGTCTCATTTCGCTATGTGGGAGGTGCCACACGATGTGCACATCTTTGTTATCAATTCATTTCACCATTTTTGTAGGAATAGGACAATAGGAATATGCTCATTTAGAGCGACACATAATGGCAGTGGCCTGCTCCATTTTACATTCATTCATTCAAGTGACTGCCTAAATGATTGGCTGGCTGATTACCTATTGGTGAGTGACAAGTTACCTAATTATCGCCGAACCACGGTTACAGTGGATGCTGTTTGTAAAACGCAGAATTAATGCA